GGGAGCCCCTGGGGCAGGGCACCCCAGCTGCTCTGCCCCCGGCTTCCCCAAGTCCACTGCTGCTGAACTGACCAGCGGAGAATTGGGAAGCCGGGGGCAGAGCAGCTGGGGTGCTGCCAGGTTGGTCCCACAGCGCCGCCCTCTCCCACACTGAGCAGTTCTCCGTCAACCCCTCCCCACCGACCCCTCATAGCCCCCCTTCCGGTATTCCGGCATATCTGATAGTCCAGCACCCCCTGGGACCTAAAGGTGCCGGATTATTGGAAGTTTACTGTACATGAAGAATCACCCCAAGTACTTTTTCTTCACAAAAACATTTTGTCTTGGAAACACAAGTGATGCAATGCACTTCAGTATCTGAAATACTCTATGCATTTCACATATTCCTACCTATGTGAGATCCTGGCTGGTCATTTATTGACTGAGTATAGCTCCGACAGAAAGTCTCACCGATTTCTTTTACTGTATTCATGATGCTGTCCATAGGGTTGCGTATACAAGACCTACAACAGGACCCAAAGAGATAGAAATCTCATTTGTATACTATAGAAACATAAGAAAGCCCACTGATAATCTTATCTTTGGAAGAAAGGATTGCTTTTGCCAAACTTGCCTTTTGGCAGCCAGCACCCTGTCCTTAGATGCATTACATATATGAAAAGTTTTACAAGCTAACCAGAAAGAGAGATAGACTGTTGGTTCTAATATTTCTCCTTTCAGGTCCTATTTTGGACTATAACCTGGCATTATTTTATTCCATTCCATACAACATTCCATTCAATAGTTCTACACAAAGAAAAGATGCAAACTGTGTTCCAGAACAATAGAAATACAATATTTTAAAGGCCATAAGGATTTGATAGCTGGAAAAGATTGACGGCTTGTCTACATAGTGGAGTAAGGCACACTATGGAAGTATGATTTCTAAAGCGCACTAATTATTCTGGATTAACTGCTCTGAGCAGATCTTGCTGGTGCTCATTAAAGATTTCCTAGTGCACTTACATGTAGTAAGAGGAGGTTACTCGCCTGTGCAGTAATTGACATTCTTTGAGATGAGTGTCTCTGTCAGTGCTCCACTCCAGGTGTTGGTGCACCCCTGTGCCTTTGTTTGGAGATTTTTACTGCAGTACCTGCACACGCAGTGCCTACCTCACATGCTAGATGCGTCTCAATAGTGCATGTCCATGATCAGGCTCCTCAGTTCCTTCTCTACAACAGAGACAGCACTGTGGGTTGCTCTTGTAATTCAGTTGCAGATACATGCATTGATGCAAGAGGAGATGTGTGGTCACTTCTGGGGATGTCTTAGGCTGTGTCTATATTACAAAGAAGAGTTGGAAAAAGATATGCAAATGGAGAATGCAGTTTGCATATCTTTTTCTGCTTTTCTTCTGAAAAAGGCTTTTCCGACATTTGGCCAAATGTTGGGAAAAAAAACCCTTTTCCGGAACATCCCTTTCTCGTAAAACAAGGTTTACAGGGATGCTGAAAAAATGTGCCTGCTTTTCCGAATTTTTTTCGGAAAAGCAGACACATTCCTTGGACACGACAAAGCTTTTCCAGTATCCCAGAAAAGATCTGTAGTTTAGATGTACCCTTAGTCAACATGGTGTCTCCTATATGATCCCCATGGGCTCCAGTAACACCACTGTCCAGGGAATGGCATGGGGGTCCCATCCATGGGTGTGCACGCCAGGGCAGTAGATCCCTGGGGCAAGAGGACCTTGATCCCGTGGTGACCAGTCTGCAGCTGGGGGGAATGGTATGGTGAAAAGCCTCACTGAACGTGAGAGGGACTAGGAGAGAAGCAGTCAGGGCCATGTTGACAGGTCTGGTGTGAGATCGGTATCAAGCAAGGGGAACTGTAGGGTCAATGATACACTTGAATCTCCATAATCTGGGTGTCTCTGATCTAGGAACACTCATGGTTTGGACGATGGCCAGGGGAGAAAGCAGCTCTGCATGCTACTGGCTCCCTCCCAGCTGGGGGATTAGCAGTGCAGCAGAACGCTGGTGTAGAAGCTTTCCCCCCACTGCTTCCATAGCAGGGACTGTGAAGCCGTGTGTGCCCCCCCGGGAGCAGGGCACCAGGTAAGTGCCCCACGCCCCTCCTCCTCACGTACCCTTTTTCTTTCCCAGATCTTACTCCCTCACCCCCAGTGCACTCCTGCTCTCTCCCTTCATCTCAAACCCCACCCCCAGCATGTTCCTGCACCCTCCCTCCCAGACCTCACACCAGCACTCTTCATTATGGCGAACACCTGTGGTCCAGAAAATTAAATAATCCAACACAGCCTACCTCCCAAGACTGCTGGATTACAAGAAGTTCAAGTGTAATTCCTTGAATGAAAGAACTGCGGTGCCACAGTCCTTGCAGGAAGAGTGCTCTGTCAACTGCAAATGCTATGCTGTGGAATCCGGACTGTGTGGGCAGGCATTGTTACTTGAGACGCTGGCAGTATCACGGGAACAACTAAACTTGGCAGGCTTAGTTGGGTTGGCATTGTGTTGTTCCTGGTGCAATTGATACTGCATGAGAAAAAGCAGGCAACTTTGAGCCTGAAACCTCGACACTGGCACAATGCGCATCAGAAGTGGCCAGGGTACAGGTGATACTGGAGGAGCCTGGCACTTCATAGATGGTGAGCCGCAGACTGTGCAGTAGTAAGGCAACAGATCTGCTCAGAAATGGTTTGGTGTCTGTGAGGCAAGGCAGGCGGTCTTTTTTTTTTTTGCTTTTTAAAATCTTTTGCTGACCTAGTAGGGCTTTGTCTTGCTGAAGAGTCTACACCTGGGTCAAAGGCAGGTCCAAGGGACTTCTCCATTAATATTAACTTGAACCTGAGGTGCTTAAGAACTGGTGAACCAAGCATAGTATGAACTGACAGGAAATACAGAAACAAAAAACTGAGGTGTTTTGTTTTTGTTAATGAGGGAGAGGAAAAATAAAACTCATCTGACTAAATACATGTCAACTATGTAAAAAACTAACTCGGCTAGATAAAAGTGAAGATCCATTTCAGGTCAGGGGCAGTAGAAAAGGAACTGGAGTCTAGCAGCACAATTGCTATTGTGACAGCTGGCACAAAAGGCAGGCACTGTGCACTCATGGCTAGTGCGGGTACTGCTGTAAAAACCTCCAGGTGAAGGTGTGGATAACACCAACACTTGGAGTGAAGCACCCACAGGGAAATCTCCAGAAGAACTAGTGCTTTCAATATTCATTTGCATTAAGAACTTTTACTGCGCCCCAATAAGCACAGACCAATTCATCTGCAGCATATTAGGGTACTTGAGGAATCACACTCCCATAGTGTGCATTACTCTCTGGTGTAGATAAGCCTTAACCCCATTATTTGTGGATATGAGGAGTGCTAGATAAAGAACATGCTTGTATAAACCGAATGCTGTTGTCCAGAGCAGTGCACTATTGCCCCCTTCAGAAATAATGACTTTTGTTTCTTTTTAACTAGGACTGTCACTCATAATCATAGTAAACTCACGTGATCAAGTCAAAAATTTGTAACTAAAAATTAATGATTACTTGCCGTTTTAATCACACTGTTAAAGAGACTATCAACTGAAATTTGTTAAATATTTGGGTATTTTTCTACATTTTCAAATACTCAGATTTCGATTACAACACAATACAAAGTGCAGAGTACAGGCAGTCCCTGGGTTACGTACAAGATAGGGACTGTAGGTTTGTTCTTAAGTTGAATCTGTATGTAAGTCTGAACTGGCGTCAGCTGCTGCTGAAACTGATCAGTTTAAACTGCGGCTGAATCTGGATGCCAGTTCTGACTTACGTACAGATTCAACTTAAGAAACCCAGGCGTCCCCAAGTCAGCTGCTGCTGAAACTGATCAGCGGCTGATTCCAGGAAGCCTGGGGCAGAGCAACTCTGCCTCGGGCTCCTTGTAGTCAGCCGCTGGTCAGTTTCAGCAGTGGCTGACTTGGGGACGCGTGGGGCAGAGCAGCTGGGGTGCTGCTGGGTTGCTCCAGTAGCGCCAAGGAGCCGCGCTACTGGAGCAACCCAGGAGCACCCCAGCTGCTCTGCCCCAGGTGTCCCCAAGTCAGCGGCCGGGGCG